GATGCCTTTCTCCACGATATCGTGGGTAAATACCTGGTCCTTGTCCGTTTTCTGATAAGGGAGTACCCTCTATGGTGGTTTGAGAATGGCATTCATTAGCCCAATGTCTCCCTCTACGGCATTGTGGGCAAATACCCGGTATTCTATTCCTTTGATACCTAGTTTTGTTAAACCCTCCTCCTATGGGGCAAATCCTTTTAAAATGTCCTGTTTGTTCACAATTATAGCATGTTTTTGGCCTGACATCTAAAGCCTGTTGTACTGCAGCTGCCAAGACTTGCCCTTGTTCATTAATGTCTCTACATAATTTAATATATGTGTGTTTAAATCTTCATGTCTCCATGGTCTAATGACCTCTCTGCAGCAACGATTTGCTTGGTCATAAGCCAGTTGTTTTATTAATGGCATTGCCTGTTCTGTATCCCCAAAAATTCTGGAAGCTATTTGAAGAAGCCTATCTACAAATTCAGCGTAAGGTTCATTAGTTCTCTGTATTACCTTAGATAGCTGACCTTGTAAATCTCCATGTCCTTGTAAAGTCTTCCATGCCCTAACTGCGTCTGCAGCAATTTGTGCATATATAGCAGGATCATATTCAATTTGTTGCCGTTGACCCTCATAAGGTCCTTTTCCTAACAACATATCTAGATTTCTTTGAGGGTAACCGGCTGCTGCATTTCGCCTAGCTGTCTCCGTGCAAAATTCCTCATTGGCAACCTTCCATAACAAATATTGTCCTCCATTTAGCACAGATTTACACATGCTAGCCCAATCTGCTGGCGTCATGTCCAAGTTAGTAATGGACTCGACCATGCTTACCGTGAAGGGTGCTTGGGGACCATAGGTTGTTACAGCCTCCTTTAACTGCTTCACTGTTTTAAAATCTAAAGCACGGTGAATTTGCTGCCCTCCTACCTGTTCAAGTACAGGGTATGCTAATTTTGAGGTCCTGTCTCAGGATCTCATTTATCAACTACGGGGTTTGAGGGCCACTCAGCTGTCTCCATAGGTGGGGCTGTTGGTTGAATTACGCCCTCTGGTGATAAAACGGAGTTAGTAACAGCCTCCTGTTGTAGCCTTTTTCCTAATAACCCCCTTTTCCTTTAAATTTTCTTCCTCTGTCTGACTAGCTCGAGAGACCTTCTCTTTTGCTTGATCTAAAATGTCTTTCTCCATGGTCTGAACCTCTAACAATTTACTTAACACCTTTTTGGTTTGTTTTTTACTAATTTCTAATCTACTATAAAGATAACGCAACCCAATAAGATAACACAAAACAAAACCGAAACTGAATGAAACAAAAACGGAATAAAAAATCGTTGTATCAATTTTCTCTTCCTCAGGGCCGACAAACTTCAAACCTTTAGCCAACCATTTTTCCCAGTTTGCCTGAGAAATTTCTAGGGATAGGCAGCTTGAAACAAAAACAAAATAAATCAAAACAAGAACACATTGTTTTTTGAAATGGTCACCCATTCTCTCGCCTTCCCTCAGGGACGAGCAATTTCACTTACCTCCAAGTTTTAGACGTTCCGCTTACAGGCCACCAAATGCCTCAGTCTGGCTGGGCACAAAATCACGAGCCACCACACACCTTGTAGATTCAAACAGCAACTCTTTATTCTCGAACTGTCACCGGCACTTTACACACACGTTCTGGGGAAATCCACGTTCTGGGCCAAATCCACGTTCTGGGCAAAATCCCAAAAATCTCTGAATCCCGCGAGAACTCAACGGGAACTCAAGGAGCGGACGCGCCTGAGGCAGCAGGATATGCCCTATTCCCAGCAGGGTACACCTTAAACCTGGATCCGCCCTGGTCCTTGAGCAAGGTCACCTTACATGCAATGTCACTGCAAATGACCTGGGTCCAATATGGAGAGTCCTTCCTCTAAGCAACATTGGGTAGGCTGACAAAGAAATTGCCATGGGTCATTCCTACTTGGCAATGGCTCTCAGCAGTTAGTATTGAGTTTACAAATCCAGACACTCAGAGAACTCTAAGTAGAATAAACTGAGGGACAGTCACACTCAGACACATCAAACCAAAAGGATGAGAGAGACTCTGGGCAAGCATCTGACCATGCCCCAAACCCTTCCCTAAGGCCATTATAGTAACCATCACATATAATCCTATTGCTAAAGACTACTGTTATTTTTATAAGCTGATTTCTCTTCAAAAACCATGGAGGTGGGAAACATGGAGGTGAGATGACATATTCAAAATACTAAAAAAAAGAACATCAACCAAGAATCCTAAATCCAGCAAAGGTATTTTCAGAGAAGAATAAATTACTGATACACACCCCATGTGGATAAAGTGGAAAACTACTCTATCAGTAAGAGCAAACAAAAGGTTGCTTACTGTGTGATCCACTGATAGGAAATCTCCAGAACAGGCAGACCCACAGACCCAGAGAGCTCTGTGTTCTGAGGCCTGGGAGGAGGTCATATTCCTATTGGTGAGATGAGAATGACCTGAACTAGGTAGTGATGACATTTGCATAACTCGGTGAAGGTCCTGAGTGCCCTCAGTGGCCCACTTTTAATGGTTAATAGCGTAAATTTTATATGATGGGTTTTTTATGAGAATAAAAGAAATGATGGTTCTCCTTCAGGAGAAAGTGAAAGAACAGCAGAAGGTAACTCAAGTGGAGGAAAAAAAGCCCCTCCCACTGCTGCAACTCCTGTTCTGGCCCTGATGAGTGCCTTTTCCCCTCGCACCCGTGTTTCAGGGTCTGCTTAGTGGGATGGCTAAGTGTGAACTCAGGGGGACCCTGCCTGGGTTCAGTGCCAGCCTCCCACTGCAACTGTGTAACCACAGACAGTTATGACCCTCTGTGCCTCAGTTTCCTCATCTGCAAATCAGGGCAACATCTGCATCTGTCCCATAGGGTTATTGTAAAGAGTGTTATTGTCCTGCCCCCACTGAAGACCACCAGGAGCATACCTGTGCCAAACAAATTCCAGGATGTCACTCGTCCCATGCAGCGAGGGAGTGCACACAACAGGTAACCAGAGGGCACTGAGGCAGAGGCAAGAAGAAGCACTGGGAGGACTAGCCTTTTATTTTTTTTTAAGATTTTTTTAAGAGAGAGAGAGAGAGAATTTTTAAAATATTTATTTATTTATTAGTTTTCGGCAGACACAGCATCTTCGCTTGTGGTGCTGAAGATCGAACCCGGGCCGCACGCATGCCAGGCAAGCGCGCTACCGCTTGAGCCACATCCCCAGCCCAGGACTAGCCTTTTAAAGGTGCTTTGGGGAGGGCCCTGGGTTAGATGCCATCAGGAAGAGGATGACCCTTGCTCATCCTCTTTCGTGAAAGAAGTGGGACCAGACCAAGGCTAAAGCCATGGTTTGTGGAATGATTGTTCACCCTAAAATCCATTCATTGAAATCCTGGCCCTCAACCAAATTGATAGTATGAGGAGGTGGGGCCCTTTGATGGGAAATTGGGTCACAAGGACAGAGTCCTCATGGTGGAATTGTACCCTTACCAAAGAGACCCCAGGATTTCACCAAGATGGCGCCCAGGGCGATGAAGGAAACTCCTGCCCCTCCCCACACTGCAGCCAGTACAAAGGCTCTGCAGGCCCACGGCAGGGCTGAAGGGCGTCCACAGCCAGGAAAGGAAGAAGGAAAGAGGGGAAGGTCGCTCCACTTTGGGCAGCGCAAGACCCTATAGCTCCAGAGGCAGCCAAAATATCCCGGACAAGAGACTCCCAAGAGACACACTTGACTCCAAGCCATCACCCAGCTCGCTGTCCACGAGGAAGACGGACAGCAGCATGCTGGTGTCCACTGTGCCTATCAAGCACAGAGCACGAGGCTGGGACAGAGCTCTGGAACATGGACGTGGCCAAGGTCCCATGCCCTGCTCCAGCCTGATGGTCCCAGCCGCGCTCTCCTGGCTGATGCTCTGGGGCCTTGCGGCTGCCACAGGAGGACGTGGTCCAGCGGAGGGCAGCAGGCGCGCGCTGTGCTGGGCTCGCCCCGCCCTCCTTCCCTCGCGTGTGTGCAGGTCTGGATTTCAGTGCCAGGAACTGAGCGGAGGATCACGCGCACCCTAGACAGGAGCTCTCCCCTGAGCTACACCCCGGCCCTAAAATACACTTCTCACCTCAAAGAAATACATTAATTATAACAAAGAGGAGATCATGACCCACCCCGACACACCTAGTCACAGTGACACGATGCCATCTGCTGACCAGAGGACAGCCCGCCTCACACCTCGATCTTGGGCTTGTGCTTAAGCCGGCCAAGCTGGGGTGCTCGGTCAGGGCAGCCCAACAGACCATTGGGGGCGGTTGCTGCTGTCGATCAGGGTGTGGGGGTTGGGTCGTGTGTGGCTGGACTGTGCCGGCTCTGCCTGTGCTCAGCCCGCTCCAAAGCGCTGCCCAGCAGGCTCCATCACAGGTACCGGGATGAGTCTGCTGCGATTTGTGGACATCCAGCCGACACAAGGCACAGCCCAGCAGGGAGCACCAGGGGAAGTGCCACAGTACCTTGTCATCTGGGAGGGCCAGACAAGCTTCCCAAGCACTCTGGCCCCTGGGAAGGCCCTCGCAGCACCCACAAAGCCAGATCCCACAGTGGCCCTGGACGTCAGGGCTCCCCTGCCCCAGCTGGAGCTGGCCACATCCTGGGCCCCCTGAGAAGCAGTGTCTGTAGATCTTAAGGCCGGAGATGGCCAGGACCCTCCACTGAAGCAGGAGATTTCCACCCTCACCTGTGCCCAGGAAGAAGCACCCACCCAGGTCCCGGCCAGGAGACCCAGCTGCCCTGAGGTGAGGCCCAAGGTTCCAGTGCTGATGGGGGTTGAAACAGTGCCACTGGCAGCTCCTGTCCCCACCCAGAGCCCCCCCTCTCCTCGCTGTGTCAGGCGCTTCATCTCTCCCCACACTTTTCCGGGGTGAGGGTGCCTCCACCCTTTTCCTTTTTTTCCTGAGTCAGGGAGGCTGGACCAGCTGGTGGTGGTGGCACTATAAGAACCTCAGGGCAGAGGGAGGTCAGAGGGGGAGTGGACACAAGCAGAAGATGGCAGGAGAACATGATCCCAGGGTGCTGGGCCTCCCGGGTGAGGCTGGACCTCCCTGGGTGCTGCAGGGGAGGCAGAGCCTCAGGTGGGGGGGTGAGTGGGGCCTCCAGCTTGGGCTGGGGGAGGTGGCTGAGTTTCCAGCCCTGGCCCTCCACGCTCAGCTCAGAGTGCTGTGCCCCCTTCAGAGGAGAAGGCAACATTCGGAGGCCAGAGATTCACTGAGAAAGACCCCGAGATGCTCACTCAGAGCCCAAAGAGCTTTCCAGGTACTGGGGTGGCAGGTTCAGGGGTGGGGTGGCAGGGGGTCCTCTCCAGCAGAGAGCTGTCCCTCAAGCCCAGCTCTGCCCATCTGCAGGTCCTGCAGGCTGGCTGACCCGAGTCCCCTGGATTCTGTTGCTGCTTCTCAGCTCTTTGGGCCTCTGCTTTGTGCTCTTGGTGACCACCCTGGTTCAAGGTGAGTCAGGGAGGGGGCTCTATCTGCTGGGCTTGGGAGTGGAACTCTGGGCTCCTTTTAGATGTGTCTTTGGCTCCCCCCATTTCCCTTCCCCAGTGCCCTGAAAATGCTGGGACCAATCCCTCGGCCTTGCACATGCTAGGCAGGTGCTCAATCACTGAGCTACACCCCAGCCCCTGGGGGTTCCCTCTGGGATAATTCTTGGAAAGCCACATCCTTTCCAGTGTGGCTATGGGCAGCTTAATGTCCCTCTCTGAGCCTGTTTCTTCATCTGGGCTATGGAGCTTATCCTCCCCTGTGTGCAGCTTAGGCACAGGGACAGGCATACAGTCGGTGCTCATAGGAGGGGTATGCTCTTCTCTCTTGCAGTTTCCAGGACCCCCGGATCCCCGCAGGCAAAGGTCCAGGATCATCAGAACAACTTCAGCTTGGGTGAGGGGCTGGAGTCAGGGTCCTGAGCAGGAGAGGGCTTCATGGCTGTGTGACATGGGCAAGCCACTGCTGTGGGGGGGACCCAGGTGTGATGGCAATGTTGGGCAAGTCTCTGAGGCTCAGTGTTCTGGCCTGCAAAGTGGGGCTCCTGTGGTCACTGTGAGATCCACAGAGATCATCTGCGTGGGGCCCTCTCTGCAGAAACACACAGCAGGTGATGGATAACAGAACCCCTTTTGTTGCAGGGGCTGCTTCTCAGGAGCAGGTACTCTCGGGCCTGGAGCAGGTCCGTCAGCAGCTGACCTGGATCAACACCTCCCTGGGTAGGTGTCGGGGGCCTGGGTCAGCAGGGAGCTGGGGGTCTGAGGAGGGACTGGCTACAGTGTGAGGAGGGCATGGCAGGGCTGGGACCTTGCTCCTGGGACTCTCGCAGACTGAGCGGACAGCTGAACGTAAGGGCCGGGCCCTGGGCCAGGGCTGGGGCAGGGCAGGGAGTCCCAGGAGCCCAGCCTCGTGTCCCAGCCACACTCCTCCTCCCCAGCTGCCCTGTGCAGACCCTGCCCCTGGGGCTGGGAGGCATTCCAGGGAAACTGCTACCTCTTCTCTCGGACCCTGGGCAGCTGGGAGAATGCCGTCTCCTCCTGCCGGGACATGGGGGCCCACCTGGTGATCATCAACAACGCTGCAGAGCAGGTAGCTGCCTGAGCTTCTGGCCCGGGGCTGGGCTACCAACGGGTCCAGGAGAGGCCTCCCGCACCCTCCTTGGCCCTCAGGGTTGGAGGCCTGGTGGGCAGCTGGGCAGGGTTGGAGGAGATGCAGTCAGGGAAGGCTTCCAGGGGGAGGTGTCCTAATGGTCTTGGGAGGTCTTGAAGGAGAAGGGAGCACAGGAGAGGTGAGCATGGACAGAAGGGAAGCTCAGAGCACCCCTGAGACCAAGCTCAATCCCTTCCTGCACTGAACTGAGACATGTCAGCACATTTCCACGCGTGTGTGCGTATCGATACACACCCACAGCCTGCACATACATTCCAGTGCCTGCAACTTGACTAGGGGCTCTGGGCTAGACTGCAGGAAGAACTTCCATGGAAACAGAGCACAGTGTGAATGTAGACAGACAGGGAAAGGGGTCCTCCTCCTGATGCTCCCCCTCTACAGAGATTCCTGAGGTACTGGGACATCAGAAAGAGCCAGCGTACCTGGATCGGCCTCAGTGACCACAACAATGAAGGTTCCTGGTACTGGGTGGACAACACCCCTCTCCAGCTCAGGTGACGCTCCCCAGAGACAATGGTGCAGAGTGGGCAGGGGAAGGACCCCACCCCTAACTCACGCTTTGGTGGAAAGCATTCAAGAGACTTGGTGTAGTGCACTGTCCTTCCCCTGGGGTCCTTGTCCCAGCAGCCTCCCCTGGGGCCCCAGAACCTGCACTTTTCCTTTGCTGGAGGTGATTTTCACGAAGGTGAGGTTGGCGCTCACCTTTTGGAAAACCTGTCCCTGGATTCCTCGTCACTGTCTGGCCCGAGCCTGGGCTTCCTGCGCTGAATTCATGGAGCAGCTCTGGGGTGGCCGGGCTGGGCTCTGGTGCCTGGGCTCATGGATCTCTTGATGGGATTTGCAGCTACTGGAAAGAGGGGGAGCCCAACAACGCCGGAGACGAGGACTGCGTGGAGCTCTTCGTGGAGGACTGGAACGACAGCAAGTGTACCGCCCAGAACTTCTGGATCTGCGAGCGGCCCTCCGCCCGCTGCCCTGGCGCCTGAGCGCCCTGCTCCCAGTCCACGGAGATGGAGCCAGTCGGGGGCGCTCCGCTGGCTGTTCTCCAGCCCTGTCCCTTCGCTGCCTGCTGGTCCTGCTGATGCCTTTGCATCTGACAGAGAGCCCTGAGACTCCCTCCCTGCAGCCCGGCCCTCCACAGGGCACCGCTCAGGCCTCTGCTTGCAGGGAAGGCCTGGGCACCTCCGCCCAGCCGTGACACCACTTAGCTAAGTCACACGCGGGCGGAGGTGCGGCTCAAGGGGAAGCGCTTGCCTGGCATCAGGGAAGCCCTGTGTCCCAGCCCCGGCTCTGCAAAAACTGAAATAAAGCAAGTTCACACGATGTGCTCCGTCCAACGCATGCTCTGTCCCCTCGCCACTCCTCCAAACACCACAGTGTGAAATGTGTGTGACATTAACTAGGTGTTGCCCTCTCAGGCCCCCGTGCTCTGCTACTGTGTTTCACTTATTCCTCCCTCTGCTCCGCATTGGTTGGTTTGTGTGACAATGTCCCCTCTCCATCCACCGCACGGTCATGTACCAGTTACTCATTCAGGTCCCTTAAAATGCCTTTTGGTAAAATTTTATGGTTTTCTTCATATGCACTTATTTAAAAAAAAATCACTCTTTGCAGGTGTACGTGCGTGCGTGTGTGTGTGTGTGTGTGTGTGTGTGTGTTGGTTTCCTGTGGCTACTCCAACAAGCTCCATAAGCCTAGTGGGTTAAAACACAGACCTTTTCTCTTACAGCTCTGGAGCCTGGAGCTCCCTGGCCCCTCACTTGCTCTCAGCACGGACCACGGTGGGCCATGTGCAGGAGGTGGCCTTGGGCAGCCCCCTGGTTCTTACCAGGCTGGACAGCACCACCAGACCCCCAAGGTGACTTCAGCCACACACCAACAGGGCAGAGACCCCACTTCCTGCCTCCCGGCCTCAGGAGTGTCTGGGCCTGTGCCCAGCTGGGTGCCCCTCCCCATCTGCCCAACACTTTCCATAGTCTGGAGAGACATATCATTGTCAGCTAGATCTGCTCACGTCCCTCACATCCAGCCTCAGCCCCCCTCGACCCAGCAGCCCTGAGAGTGCTGGGAAGGAGGGTGTGTCCCGCACAGCGTCGCCCTGCAGGAACACTGGCTCCAGAGCCAGCTGTGGCCACAGCCCCAAAGGCCCCAGTCCCTGCTGAGGCAGAGGGCTGAGCCTCACCTCTTGGCATTCCTGAGACTTCTAGGAACCCAGGTGAGCTCTTTGCTTCTTAGGGGAAATCCTCTCTCAGTCCTCTAGGTGTCGCCAAACTTCCTGAAAAAGGGTTCCTCACTCCTGCCTGCACCTGTTCCCCACACCTTCTCCCACCCATCACTCTCCTAAATGACCAACAGAGTGTAATATCTACCATCACCTGTGGAAACCAACACACCCTGGTCTCTCTTCTGTCTTCCTCCACGTTCAGGGTGGCTACTCTCTCCCTCTGCTTGAAACTCCTGTCTCCCAGGACTCCCAGATGTCTTCACCTCCTGCTTCTCTTCCTAACTCTCTGGATGCTCCCCGCCAACCCCGTCTCCCTCATGGACTCTTGGTCTTCTGCCTGACCTTGAAAACTACTGTCATTCATGAGTCTTTGCAATCTCCTGCTGTTGGGAGGTGAGGAGCACAGGCAGCTGGGATTAGATTGGTGGTTGAGTTTCTCCAGAAGTGGAGCCATCCTGAGGGTACAGGAGGCAGCTTGGTCAAAGGAAGGAGCCAAGGTAGGAAATGAGTGGGAAACCAACCAAGGTCTAGTCAACCAAATCGGAAAGCCCAAACTGTTTGTAGAAACTTAGGGCCACAAGTTGAGTGTACTGTCAGTATTTTCAAAGATGCAGAACCAATAGGATACATTGGGGGATATTTTAATGGGGTTGGCTATATGATCATGGAGGCTGAGAAGTCCCACACCAGACCATCTGCAAACTGGAGAGCTGGGGAATTGTGCCGAAGTGCAATCACAAAAAAAAGAAGTGTCATCCAAACTTGAAAGGAAAATGCTAAAGTGTCTCAACTTGCATGACACTATACATAGAAAACCCTAAGGAATCCTCAAGAAACCTATAGAGCTGTAAACAAGTTCATCAAAGTTGCAGGACACAATATCAACAGCAAAAACATCAGCTGAATTTCCATACACCTGCAACAAACAATCCAAAAGGTAACTAAGAAAACAATTTTTTAAATCAATTTAGTTAAAGTAGGGTGTGGTGAGACTGGAGGATCAGTGGTTCAAGGCCAGTCTGGGAAACTTAGCAAGATCTTGTCTTGAAATGAAATAAAAAACACTGAAGATGTAGGTCAGTGGTAAAATACTTGCCTAGGGGCTGGGGATGTGGCTCAAGCGGTAGCGCGCTCGCCTGGCATATGTGTGGTCCGGGTTCGATCCTCAGCATCACATACAAACAAAGATGTTGTGTCCACCGAAAACTAAAAAATGAATATTAAAAAAAATTCTCTCTCTCTCTCTCTCCCTCTCTTTACTTGCCTAGTATGTACTTGGGCCCTGGGTTCCATCCCCATGACTGCAGATAAATTTTTTAGTTAAGCGAAATAAATAAATGCAGTTCCTTTTGCAATAGTTTCTAGTAAATCTAGGAATAAACTTAAACATGGAGGTAAACACTAAAACCACAACACTGAAAATTACAAAAAAAAAATATTTCTGGAAGAAATGAAAGAGCACCTAAAGGGAATTCCATATACATCTGGATGAAGAACAGGAAAACTTATTTTCTTTAGATACTACCCAAAGCTATTGACAGATTTAGTACAAACCCTATCAAAATTCCAGCTGTCTTTTTTTTTTTTTTGCAAAAACGAAGCAGCCAATCTTTAAATTCACATAAAATTACAAGAGGCATCCCAAGGCTGGAAGACTCACACTTTCTCAACTTAATACAAAGGAGTTGTGGGTGGTAGCTCAATTGGTAGAGTGCTTGCCTGACGCGAATGAGGCTCTGAGTTTGATCCTCAGCACCACCACCAAAAAAAAAAAAATCATCATCAGCCTAAACTTAATATAAGGCTACAATAACCAAGTCATGTGGTTCTGCTGTAGGAGAAACATAAATCAGTAGGCAAGGATTCAGGGTCCAGAAATGAATGACCCGATATGTAAAAATTAACTCAAAGATGAAACCCTAACTCCAAAATGACAGTGTTCGGAAGTTCAGCTTTTGGAAGGAGCTTAGCTTTTGAGGCTGAGTCCTTATCAGTGATCAATGGGATTGGTGCCAGAGAGCTCCCTTACACCCAGTCCACCTCATAAGAACAGAGCTAGACAATGTCATCTGTGAACCAGAGAGCAGGTCCTCACTGATACTCAAACCACCTTGATCTTGGACTTCCCGACCTCCAAACTGTGAATAAATGAAATAAATGTCTGTCATTTATAAGATACTCCGTGTATCATATTTTGTTATATCTTCCTTGACAGACTCAATTGGAGCATTGTTATTGTTTGTTTGTTTGTTTGTTTGTTTTGAGACAGGGTCTCACTAAGTTGCCAAGGCTGGCCTTCAACTTGCCTGGGTAGCTGGGATTACAGGCTCACACCACTATGCCCAGTTTAGATACAATTTTTTTAAATGAGGAAGAACAGATATTGGCGAGATTGTGGAGAAATTGGAACCCTCAGGCATTGCTGGTAGGGTCATGTAAAATGGCAAGACCGCTGTGGAATATGGTTCTGCGGTTGATCAAAAAAACTAAACATAGAGTTACCATATGACCATAAATACTCCTCCGTGGTATCTACCCCAAAAGAACTGAAAACCCAGAGTCAAGGAAATACTTGCGTGTCATTGTTCATCACAGCACTATTCCCAAGAGGCAAGGCGCAAAAAAAAACCAAGTGTCCATTAGCAGATGAATGAACACACAAAATGCGGTTTATACATACAACAAAGTGTTATTCAGCCATAAAAAGAAATGCAGTTCTGATAACATGCTACAGTATGGACGAATCTTGATGACATTGTGGCCAGTGAATCAAGCTACACACAGAAAGACGATATCGGTTGATTCTACTTATACGTGTGCTATAGTTTGGATCTTGAAATGTCCCCCAAAGGCCCAGGTGCTGAAGGCTGAAACCTGAGAAACTGGAAGCCAAACTAAAACTTTTTTCCTTATAAGATAATTTTCTCAGATATTTTGTCACAGTGACGAAATACTGACTAACAAAGAGATATCTAGAATAGGCAAGCTGGTAGAGAGGGAAAGTAGAACAGAGGTTACCAGGGCTGAGGGAAAGTGTGTATGTTACAGGGTTCTGTTTCCATAGTGGTTGTGATTATGCAACTTGTAAACCCAACCAGAGCCATTGAACTGTAGGCTTAAAAAAGGGTTAATGGTGGTGGGGGGGGCCCAGCTGTAGAACGCTTGCCTGGCACATGCGAGGCCCTGAGTTCAATCCTCAGCATCACATAAAAATAAATAAATAAAATAAAGGTATTGTGTTCAACTACAACTAAAAAATAAGCTAAAAAAAGGGTTAATGGCAAATTTGATATTATACATATTTTACTCCAGTTAAACTTTTTGAAATAACAGCAGCAAGAGCAAAAAGCCACCAACACTTTCTAAGGCCCTGGCCCAGAATGAGACAGCATCATTTCTGAGGCAATCTGTTGATTAGAATAAGACTCAAGGCTAGTTCAGGTTCAAGTATAGGGAAAGAGACTCCATATCTTAAGAGGAGTTTGTGGGAGGTTTTGCCAACTGTAGGAAAGTAAGAGCTCCATGTCCACATTGGTCAGCAATCATGAAAAGAGAATTTGGATCCAAAGTTTAACCCAGAAAAAAAATTTTGACTGTAGTAAAATTTGATACTACCAAACCCCTAATACAAGAGTTTTAATAAAGTTAAATATGTGGGCTGGGGTTTTGGCTCAGTAATAGAGTGTTTGCCTAGCACTGTGAGGCACTGAGTTCAATTCTCAACACCACATAAAAAAATAAATAAAATACTGTGTCCATCTACAGCTAAAAATATTATTTTTAAAAAAGTTAAATAAGCAAAATTTGACTCCAAAGTGACACATACATACACCCAGAAAAAGCCACAATAGTAGAATTAACGGTTCATAAAAACTGGAACAAAGCATCCCAATTAAGGGAAGCGAGATAGAAATAAGTTGGATAAGGGCTGGGGCTGGGGCTCAGCAGTACAGTGCTCTCCTAGCACGTGCGAGGCCCTGGGTTCGTCCACAGCACCACATAAAGATAAATAAAATAAAGATATTGTGTCCAACTACAACTAAAAAATAAATATTAAAAAAAAGAAATAAGTTGGATAACAGGTACCAAAATACAGTTA